GGAAGAATAAGTGACACATTGTGTATATTCATACAACAGGATGCTATTCATCAATGGAAAGGAATAAACCGCTAAACAAAAATAACAAGAATATTCACTTAGGTGAAATAAGTCCTGTACAATAGTGTGTATGTTGCTTCCCCCAATTTATTGGAATATCCAGAAAAATGTAGGCTGCATTCCCCATGTTAACCTACCCAGAGAAAACCAAAAGAAAGGTAGAAGAGAGGTAGAGGTTAGTGCCAATATCAGAGACATTTTATAATAATTAAAACCAGTCAGACACTTAAAACGAGTAGACATTTGATTAAAACAATAAGGAGGAGAAAGGAGAGCAGCAGGAGGGGAGGAGAAGAAGAAAGGGAAAAAAGGAAGGAAGATAGAAGGGTGGTGTTATGGTTTGTGTCCAGTTGTCCCCACAAGCCTCATGCGGTCATGTGGGGCAGTTTCTGGAGTATATGATTGATTGTTGTGGGTGTGGGTGCTGTACATGCCCTGAGGTGGGTGATCTGCATTACAGTGTAAGTAAGGGAGAGACACTTGCTAGAAGCCCCAGCTGCTGCCTCTCCCTTTGCTCTTTGCCACTGCCATGGACCACTGCCATCTGCCATGTGCCACTCTGCCTTGGAGCCTGAAACCTCCACTAACTGTAAGCTAAAAGAACCCTCCCTTCCTTAATTTTGGGTGTTGGGTATATTGTCCCAGCAATGAGAGAAGAGTAACTGAGACAGGTGGGAAGAAAGCTAACAGGGAAGGAGGAAGATGGCCATAAGGAAAGAGGGAAGGAAGGAAGTAAAGAAGGAAGGAAGGGGAGAAAGGTAGGAGAAGGAAAGGGCAGGGAAAGGAAGAGAAAGGGAAGAGCAAAGCATGGGAAGGGAAGGGAGGGGAACAGTTTGCAGGTAGCCTTCCACACCCAGCACCATGCTAATTCAGTTCAGCTGGATGTTGTTACAAGCTGCCCATCATTTAATCCACCATGTTGGCCATGATTGTAATAACTCCTATAAAATCTTTGTCAAATGATACAAACACCTGGTTCATCTTGAAGCCACTTGCTTGGTTTTTCTTTGCATATGGTAATACTAGAGGACTGGTCTTCAAGTGGTTCTACTGGGATGGGGGGGGTCTAATTAGAAGGCCTTAGATCACCAGGTGTGGCCAATCTTGCACCTCCTTTTGTGGCCTAAAAGCAATAGGTCCACAAGTAAAAACTCAGATTCTTACCAGACACCCACACATTGAAGGAGGAGGGATTGAGTTAGCTCGTTATTACGAGAGATCGAGTACAAGGTTGACAGGCTCTGAGCCAGGAACATCAGAAGGTAACACATGGTAGGGCAAAACTGATTCATGTATGGCAGCCAGGAAGCAAAAAGGGAGCCTGTGCCAGAGAGGAAGGATTGAGGGGTGACTTACAACACTCAAGGCCACTCCTCATGACCCACAAAGACACACCCAGGAGCATGCATTCCCACCCATACCACTGAATGTGATATAGCCAAACTTCTGGCTGAACTGTCACAATCCACCTCTTCTCAACTTCACATCCACACTCATCTCCTTAACCGTATTTATTTCTAAATAGACAACGGCAAGTTGATGATTCCACCTAACATAATATAACTACCCTGCCTATAAATGCAAATGCAGAAATCCTTTCTGCAGAGTCTCAAGGACTACAACAAGATGAGTTCATGGAAGGTGTGTATTTAAAACCTCATTGTCTCACCTGGGTGTGGTGAGCATGCTTACCTGAAATCCCAGTGGCTTGGGAGAATGGGGCAGGAGGGCCTCATGCATAAACCTAGCCTGGACAACATAGCAAGAACTTATCAAAAACAAAAAAGACAATGGGAAAAACAAACTATACAATCTGTAAAAATTTATGTATCTGTATTTTAAAGTCACATTTGGAGACTTAGAACTTCTCTGTGATTGATCTATTTACTAAATGATGTCACTCACATAAAAGGACATTAAAAGACTTATTTTTAACTTTACTGTCTGCCAACACAACAGATTACATTTCTTAGAATCAATCTCAGTTTTGGCCTAGCAAGCTGGTACACACCTGTTTTCTTAGCACTTGGAAGGCTGAGGCAGGAAGACTGTAGTGAATTCAAGGCCAGCCTGGGCTCCACAGAGAGTTCAAGGCCAGCCTATACTACTGTATGAGACTATGTCTCAAAAGCAAAACAAGAGGCTGGGGAGATAGCTCAGTAGAGTAAGCACTTGCCTCGCAAGCACAAGGGCCTGAGTTCAATTTCCGGTTCCGCAAAAGAAAAAGAAAAAAAGGGCCGGGGAGATGGCTCAGTGG